TAAAAATGTAGTTCTCAAAAGGATAACAATGTTCAGAAACACTCTATTTTATCTTCTAATCTCTAGGTGAAACTAGGAAAATCTAGTTTCATTTTTATACAAGGCAAAGTATAATTCATTCTTTTTTTATATGGTCACAGACCCAAGTTGGTGAAGTATAATGTTTACTCAGTATTCTGTGTCTGGAAATAAAGATTTCCTATTTCCCAAAATAATTATCTGCACAATCTGATCCTTGCTTTGATAATGTAGATCACTCTTCCCCAAACTGATACTCTCTGGAGGTGCTAGTACAGTTCTTATCATCCCCAGCCATATGACCATATTGGACTAGTAGATTTTAAACTGTATTCCAACAGATACCTCCATTCATTCCACATCTATAATATTTTTAAAAATACAATGAAAGTAAGGTGCCCTGGACTTCCTAAATCTGTACCTTCCAACCTCTGGTCCCTAAACGTTGTGGGACAAAGCTGTAGGAACCCCAGCATAGTAGCATGGCCAGTAATCAGGGATTCCGGGTTTTTTAGTCTAACAACATTTAAGGAGCCCTTGTTTGGGGAACAGTCTATCCTAAAATGGAGAAATACGGAGCTTAAGAAAACCTTAGTATTTCAAAAAATAGAAAGTGATGTAATGAACATACAGTTTTGCATGTTGATAACTTTTTTCATGAGAAACTCCTTCAAAAATGTTTCTGATCATGTAAGGAATGTTTTTGTAGGATAATGAAGAAAGACAACAAGTTTCTCCATTATGACTAAAATCACTAGAATGAATCTAAATTGATTATAGTTACATGTTACCTGTTTAAGTAGAATTGGGCGTTTCAGAACATTATCTCTGCAAGAAACTGGGTATATGCTGATTTTCTGCAGAGGCTTGATAGGGAGCATCTCTGTCATATTCATGAATGTTGCTAGGAAAACCTAGGTTGAGATCAGTCAAAGCCAGTAAATTAGAAGACACAGACTGTTGGTTCACCAGGGACAAGCTCAGTTTTTGATATCAATGGACTAATTGGGTGGTTATTTGTTTAGAGGTCAGGTGTACCTGCTCTGCAACTCTGCCACTTAAATGCCAAAGGACTGGCTAGTTCTAAAACGAAACAGTATTGAGAAATAGCCTTTATTTTTAATGTATTTTGAGAGGTAGAGTGTAAGATGTAGACTTGTTCAGGCAACTTGATGGGATTCAGAAATTCCCAGACACTCCAGATGGCAGTGTTGAGCTCCATCGGAACCAGGGGTTCATCGTACTTTATTTCTTTTTCATGTATTCTTGAATTTTAAGTATTTAATATTGAAATTCAGCAAAACGCCATCTGTGTTTTTGTTTTAATATTTCTATCAAGGGAATGTAAGCCAACTGTCTTGATTTTTGGGGATGGGGGGGCGTAATGCCGACACTGACTTTTCTAACGTTTTCCTTATTATAAAATATTTGAAATGGACTCATTTTTTCCAGTTAAACTTTCACAGTTGTAATCATATTGACATCCACTGTTAGGACAATGGGGCTAATCCAAGTATACTATTGAATTTGATGAGACACAGCTAAGAGAAAATATGCGCAGGACTGAACTTCTTATCTGGGTTTCTATTTCAACCAGCTTTTGCACTCTGGATTTATAGTGTTCTAAGGTTTTAATGTATGTATCTAGGTTGCAAATCTGCCACAATTCTGCCAATTTATTGGTTTTTTTCTAGCCGTAGATGTAAAGTTAGTGTTTGCTGCTAAGCTTTTATCTCTACCTAAACTGCTACCTAAATCCTGCTGTCGTTGTCACAGACAATAAATATTTAATCCCTTTTAGATATTTTAATTTATTCTTTTTTCCCATCAGTCATGACTATATGTTTAGTGATTTGAATAAACAGTTCTGACCTAGTTATGGTTCAGTTAAAAATAAACCAGACCTAGTATATAAAACGTTACTTGGATTTATATTTTTAGAAAGGAGATTTGTTGAATTAAGAGGGAGCAGATAAGTGGATTGTTCGTTTTCTTTAATGATACTGTTAATGATACTGACAGTGCAAGCCAGCAGGCCTCTTTGTGGAGATGAAGTCCCATTGCGTTCAGTGAGACTATTTCCCAGTTGGTTTACAATAGTATTCTGAAAGTCATTGTCACTGGAATGTGGTTTCCTTTCTTTTTGAATGTCCTCTTTTGTCTTAGGATACAAGCAATATTTTTCTCAACTTTCTCTTATTTTAATATCCAGTCTATCTGTAGAAGTGTAAGACATATAATATTGCATCTTTTAGGATAATTTCTTACATGCTTATTTGCTTTTTCAACCTATTTTATTCTGTCCTTTTGTAAAGGCAAAGGAAAAAAGGAGGATCACCATAAATCAGTTCCAACTTGATGGCACATAACAACAAGAAGTATATTTGTAGTTGACAAGCTACTTCCACCATTTTGTTGGTTATGTATGGGTATTTAGAGTGGTAGAGGATGTTAGGATGTCTGCATGGAAGTAGGCCTGAAGCAATAAGCCTGTAGTTAAATCTGCCTTTCATTGTGATTTGCATTGCTTTTGCTAAGTGTTTGTGGTTGTGCTGATATTGTTATGTTTGTTTGTTTTTGTTTCCTATTCCCATTTCTATAGTACACTATTATTGTTGACACTCTCTGGGAGGTTCACAATACAGAATAAAATTATACACTAAAACTACTGCATAATAAGTACAATGATATAATAAAATAAATAAACCCTGTTGCTAACTAAAGCTACTTTTATATAAAAATGAAAACCCATTGGAACATCTCAGGATAATATTCACACTAGTAAAAAGCAGCTTTATATAATTTGGGCTTAATTAGCTTACTAAGAACATGGAAGAATGGTGCTTGGTGAACCTCTGTAGAGGCTTATTTCAGAGCTTGGTTCCTAGTTTTGGCTTTTTTGGCCTCCTTGGATGTTGTCATTCTTAACTTCAAAGACTTTGAGGATGGGTAGCTATTTTGTGGGAGAGACATTCTGACAAATATCAAGGTCATAAACATTAAGGACTTTATGAGTTATGACCGGCATCGTAAATTGGCACAGGAACTAACAGGGAGCTAATGAAAGCGTGTCAAGTCTGGGGATATGTGCTGATATTGCTGGCATGTGTAATCAGTCTGGCCACCTCATTTTGGACCTGCTGAAGTTTCCATACTGGCTTCAAGGGCAGTCCTATGTAGAAAGTGTTATAGTAGTCTAGTTTGGAGTTTACCAATTCATGACCTGCTGCTGTTGTTCATTTCTTACTCAGGTAGGGGCATAGCTGGAGAATCAACTAAAGCTGATAAAAGACACTCTTGACCACAGCAGATATTTGCACCTCCACACAGAAAGCTGGGTTCAAGATTACCCCCATGTTCTGAACCTGATCCTTCTGGGAGAATACAACCCATTAGGCCAAATAAACATCCTTCTAACTGGTCTGATGACCCTCCCATCAATAGGATCTTTGTCCTATCTGGACTCGGTTTCAGTTTATGGGCCCTCGTCCAGTCCATTATCAATGCCGGCCAATGCATTGGCTCAAGGATCTACCGACACAGCATCACCTGCTGATGAAGAGAAGAAGGGATAGAGCTGCGTGTAGTCTCTGTATTGAATGATGACAACAAATCCCAAATCTCCATATGACTTCAAGCAGCTTCATATAGATATTAAAAAGTATTGGGAAGATGACTGATCTCTGCAGGACAGCATAATGGAAGTCCTAAGGGTAGACAGTGCCTCTCCCAGCTGTACCATCTGAGATTGTACCTTGAGGAAGGACTGAAACCACCAAAGAACAGAGTCCCCAAGTCCCAAAATTGATAGCCATCCCAGAAAGATTCCGTGGTCAACAGTATCAAAGACTACAGAAATATCTAGTAATATTTGGCACTTGCTTACTTACTTTTGGGAGTTTACTCATAGTCACAGATAGGCAAGATATGTGGGCCTAAGTTCAGTACCCAGTCCTAGGTAAAGTAGGTTTACTGAGTCTAAATTGCTGAATGAAAAGTACAACCATTTTATATAAATTTAATTGAATCCTTGGCTCTGTACTAGTTGGAATTTCCAATTCAGTTTAGGTCATGATTAACACTTGTGTTGCTATCCCCTGAAATAAACATGCAGTCGTCCTGCTTTTTACAAATTGTCTAGGGCTAGGGTAAAAACTTGTTTTAACAAGACCTCTATGCAATGTCTTAGGAGTCTTAGGCAAACATGACAGTACTTTGTTGGATAACTGGCACCTTCAGATGTCATCATATGTGTAAGCACTTTTATACAATTTCTCCTTACAATGTCTCCATAGTATGGACTATAAACTGTGAACCAGAAATGCATGTATTGTACAATATTTGTTGTATCTTTCAATTCTAGTATGTTGATTCTAAGGTAGGATTTTATATGTGGTTTAGATATAGTTTGTTTAGGTAAATTACTGAACTTTTCTATAGTTACATCAGTCTTACAAATGTTTAAAATGTTTGTATAATTTCTATTTTTTTTTTTTTTGCACTAACATCATACACTGGAGTCAGAGAAAGGACAATGTATGTTAAATTAAGTTGTGTTCTGATGTGTTAGGACATGCTCTTTTAATTACAAATTTGTTGTGAGAAAGCTCATAAGATTGCTTCATATATTTGTTTACCATGTTGAATGCATAGGTACATTACTATACAGTATGTGATCATATGCTCATGTCTCTTTTTGCTATATCTGCATTGGAGAGCTTAAAGTGACAGTGCAGTGTGAAGGATATAGAAAAATAGCTCTCATGTGTGTTGACATGAAGATGCATTTCCTTCCATCTCTGAAGACAAAATGGTTTTGAAGCAGTACTTACAACTTATATAGAATTTGAAATCCTGGGCCAGTTGTAATGTTGGAAAGTACAGAAACCCCAGTACATTATAAATGTTTTCCTAACAGACACAAGAACTGAAGGTTAAAATAACTGTAAAATATATTTCCCTCTTTCTCTGTCTCATTCTAGGATGACGTAGTCTTGTGAGGATTTATCAGCTAAGCAGAAAATGAGCTTAACATCCTGGTTTTTGGTGAGCAGTGGAGGCACCCGCCATAGGCTGCCACGAGAGATGATTTTTGTTGGAAGAGATGACTGTGAATTGATGTTGCAGGTAATTGTATCAGTTCTCCAGACTTATAAATGTGTTAAGTTTGGATTTAATGCCCCAGATACATTTTAATGACCTAAATACATTTTTGAGGATTTATATGTTGAACTCTTAAGTATTTTGCTTTCCCATATTTAGCTTTTACTGGAAATGTTATCATTCACCAATATTTCACAGTCCAAAGCAGGAGCTGTTCAGCTTTAGTTACTATATACAGATATTGCTTTCTCTCCAAAGCAGTGCACAGGCCATAGTTTTCTTGCTTCCTCAAATGGGTTCTCCAAAAGGGGCAATCCCATTTGGTGTTACCCCTCTTGAAGGTGTAGTCAGTGGTCATTCCCTCATAAGAATATCCCATTTATCATCCTTCCCCAGGAAATGATGGAGTGAGGGGTGAAGTGGTAGGCTTTGGCTGACTTACATTTCTGTATTGGAAAACAAGTGGCCTTACAAGGTTGGGATACCAATGCTGAAGTGATGGGTAGCAACAGAAAGCCGCCAAACAGCAGGCTTATTTTCCCCTCACCTGCTAGATGTTCTTAGAATCATAGAATCATAGAAAAATTGAGTTGGAAGGGGTCGAAAATGCCAACCTCCTGCTCAGTGTAGGAATCCAAATCAAAGTGTAACTGATAGTTATCTAATTTTCAGTTGAATGCCTCCAGTGTCAGAGCACTCACCACTTCTGAAGTAGTTGGTTCCATTGTTGTACTGCTGTAACTGTTGGGAAGGTTTTCCTGATATTCAATCAGAATCTGATTTTTTATAACTTGAGCCCATTATTACGTGTCCTAAACTCTGGGATGACTGAGAACAGACCCTGCCCCTCCTCTTTATGACAGTCTTTCAAGTGTTTGAAGAGTGCTATCATATCTCCCCAGTCTCCTTTTCTAAAACAGAAGTACCTCTCTTTAGGGTAGTATGTGTGTGTGTGTTTGTCCCATTTGCTGGTGCTATAAGTGAGCATCTATCTTTCTACTGGTAATACCACAATTCCTAGGTTTCAGGATAAGTGGTTGAAAAGTCTGATTTTTTTGCTCTCACACAAGCTAGAACTTTCAAGTTAGCAGCAGACTTGGGAGGATGTGAGTATGGAGCCTAACAGCCACTTGAAACTGTCATAACTTCCATCAAACATAAGTATTTTATGATCCTCTATTCTTCTCCAGAAGAGAAACGAAATGCCGGTGAAATGCAGGATCTGGTAAAATTGGCAAGAAAGAGGGAAGTGTCTGGTTCTTGACAGTAAAAGGCTGTTTTTAATGACTCCTCATTAAATTGTTTAGTAATTTTATTAATCGCTCTAAACATTTTGGAGTGAATTCTTTATAAGGAACTAAAAATACAAACAAAATGACCAACAACACGTTATAGCTAAATACTTTACAAAGATAAACAGCATAACAAATTTCCCATTTAGAAAAGCAATACAAACTAATATATTAAAACAGTCAAATGCAGTAGCTGTAACATTTATCTGTACTGCACAGAAACTGATGAAAGAGCCAAAAATCCAAGTTTTTAAAAAAAAAACTATTGCATGTTCAACACCTAGGGCTGGAGTAACTCTGATGTATAGCACAAGTAATGAGGTTTTCCCATTTTTGTGCCTCACCTTTTTTTAAAGTCCTACTTCTTGTTTACTGTTATTTCTAAAAGGGAATTACAAAGTGTAATATGTAGAACTGCTGTTTCAAATGTATTTTATTATGTAAAATGAAGACATTTTATTGTGAAGCTTGTTCTTTTAAATATGTTGTGGTAATACATTTTCAGTTTAATCTGGAAACATCCAAAATATATTACGTACACATAATTTTGAAGCTATGTATCTTCACAGAGAAGTGTATTCCTCTTAGGTGATAAACTAAATCATAGTGTGAGGTATGAATGGTCAATGATTTCCCCCCAAAGAATGCAATCTCTTTTGTTTACAGTGGTGCCCCACTTGATGACGATAATCCATTCCAGCAAAATTGCTGTAAAGTGAAATCATTGTCAAGCAGGGAAAAAAACCCATTGAAATGCATTAAAAACCTGTTAATGCGTTCCAATGGGTGAAATACCTCATCGTCCAGTGAAGATCCTCCATAGGACGGCTATTTTCCGTTGCCTGTAAAGCAAAAAATCCGTCCTGAAAACAGCGGGGAGCCATTCTGCACAGCGGGCGGCCACTTCAAACCCCGACGATCAGCTGTTTTTAGATTGTTGTAATGTGAAGAATCGGTTCCCGAAGCAGGGAACCGATCGTCGTAAAACGAAAATCACCCCTTGAAACATTGTTTTGCAATCGCAATAACGTTCGCAAAAACATCATTGTGAAGCGATTTCAGCGTCAAGCGGGGTAATTGTCAAGTGGGGCACCACTGTATTTGCATGGCTTAGAAAACAGAGGGAGGGAATTTGCATTGATTTTTTACTCAGTGCTGTATTGATAATCACCATTTTGGAGAGCGTTATCTCTTGCATTCTGTTAGATAATTAATCTTCCAGAAGCCTGTGTCCAGTGATAGAGAAGCTTGTTAGACACTAAATCATACCTATTTTCTATTGAATTATATGTGTTAAGAAACCGCTAACTGTCTAAAATCTCTCACTTCATGTCTGAGCATTTTACTGTTCTTTTTACTGAACTTCTGAAAGCCATACGCACCTCTCCACATACTGTGCATTTCAACTGCTGAAATAAGTATTTTGTCAGTTGTTTTTGAATAATTCATTTGACTCTCCTTTTATTATATCATGTGAAAATTTCCTTCTCTTTTGCTAAAAGTCCATGACAGTTCTAGTTTCATACCTTTTTGCTGGTAGTTTTACAACAGTGTCTTTAGAATCAGCTGATCATGTAAAATTGTCTACCACTTACTATGTGTAAAGTTCAGTACTTTAAACATACTCAGGGGCTTTAAAAAGTATGTTTGCCGTTTTATTAGTCAAATGACCATTTCCCCCACCCAAATATTTTATATGCTCTTGCCAATTGAAAATCTGTAGTACTTTGATACTGCTGCCGAGAGAGTGTCATGTAATAGTCAAATGAAATCATCTATTACCAGAATGGAGAAACAACTGCAGATTGCAAAAATACATTCAACAATGTGACTACTACATATTCACTAATATAAACCTTCAATATGTTTCAATATTTTAGTCACGTAGTGTGGACAAGCAGCATGCTGTAGTCAACTATGATGCTTCCACAGATGAACATCTTGTGAAAGATTTAGGCAGTCTAAATGGGGTAAGTTAAATATGGTTATTCTGAACAAATATTTTGGATTGCTTATATAAGTCAAGTATGGAGAGATTTGGAAAAATATCTTGAAAATATGACTTATGCCTTGGAATATGATAGTGTGAGAATGGTCATAGTCAATAATTTTTAAAGATCTAAAAATGCTAATTGAATTATTTGTTCTTGACAATTTAACCTGACTGGACTTGATCAGATACCTTAACAAGGAATTTTAAAGAAACAAGGTTTTTCATTTCCAGGTGAGAGCAAGACAAAGAGTGCTATTTTTATGTCATCCATATCCCGTAATTTGCAGAAACAGTCTCTTTGCAGAACGAGTGCCTCTTTTTTTAAGTGAGGCAAATCAAGGGCATGGAATGACTATGCAATTGTTCAACACCATGGAAATAATCCCTCCAAAATGTCTAATCCTGAAGTCCGTGGAGAAGGACTTGCGAGATTTGCATCCCTAGATGTTTTCCACATATTGATTTTTTGGATGAATTTGTTTGCTTGATTGTCTTTGTTTGTTTTTTTTTTACCTTCTGAATCTAATCTCTATTAATTATTAAGAAAAATGTTTTGACCCTGAATCCGAGGGTGCCAAATGAGATTTAACAGTATAAATGTGTTTCTTGAGACCATACAGTTTAATCAATTTTAATGAATGTTGAGGGCATATTAATATTTGGTCAAACAAAGGCTTTCCCAAAGATTTTCAGAAGCTGAGCTTTAAAATGATAACGTGGGTGTTTTATGAATGTTAAACAGCCATTTATTTCTCTAATAATTTGATGGTATCTCAGTCGTGAAAGGAAAAGCAGGAATTTTATTATGGGCCTCTGCATAAGGGGGGAAAACCAGTGAACACCGGAGTTCAATTGAAAGATCTCTGAACTATTGCCTTTCAGTGACTTCATAACCAAACTTTTAAAAATACAGTCATTTTAATGGTTCTGACATGGAGACTTGGTTCAAGATTTATTTGATTCAATCCATACATTTAAAAAATGAAATAATCAAGGAGACAAATTATCACCAAAGTGATCAAAACTTTGAGATGTCCTTAGCTGTGGTACGTGATATGCCTATTGTTGGGAAAAATATATTACAGTGTCAAATTACACAAAGCCATAGATCAGGATGCAGAGAGTTACCTTCGGCATGGTAAATAATTGAATTGCAGTATTTACGGTAAATAAACTCTGCACCTTTACACTGTCTTAATATGCAGTTTTCACCAGGGCATCTTATATAGCATGGATGCTTAAGAGAAGCACTCCCATAAGTCACTTGGACATGTAGTTGCTTGATGGCTTAGATCTTGCAAAGAAGTTTCAGAATAATAAATATTCCCAGGTTAAGAGATTTTTTAAAGGTCTTATCCATGATATATACATGGCCTTTTGTGCAAGCTTGCTTGCTTGCTTGCTTGCTTGCTTGCTTGCTTATTTATTTATTTATTTATTTATTTATTTATTTATTTATTTATTTATTTATTTTATTTATTTATTTATTTATTTAAACGTGTGCGTGCATACCTACCTACTACCGATTTTGCCAGAGACCACTCTGAGCAGTTTACAACATATAAAATCTCATGACTAAAATGCAATTAACAGAACAAGTAATAAAATAATGAAATTCAAATAAATAATCCATCAAAGCATAAAAATACATTAACATAAAACATTTAAGATGGCAGACATTGATGAGGTAGGCTAGCTAACCTCAGCTGAGTTCATGAGTATAACATTTTTTGAATAATTTTTTTATTTGAACATATAAATCTACAAACTACAACAGAATACAGTATAGAAAAGCAAAAAACAAAACAAAAACAAAAAACAAAAAAACCCCATTCTCCCCTTTTGAGGACAGAGATTCCAACCTCATTTAAGTTCTGAATTTCCCAAGTTTCCAGAGAGCATTGAAAAAAACACATAAATGATTTTGCCCTAAGCTTTGATCTTTCCCTGGACCGAAACATATATTAAGTTCCAGCTTTGTTTTACATAGTCCCTTGGTTGTTCTCGTAGTGCTTCTGAGAGTGTGTCTAGTTCTACGATATCCATCAGCTTCTTCAGGAACTCCTCTGTCGTAGGTGTATCTTCACTTTTCCATTTTTGGGCCCAGAGTAACTTAGCCGCTACAAATATATATATCAAACAATATTTGATTTTCTGATCAGTAATTTCTGGCATAATATTTAGTAGTGCTATTTCAGGTTTAAAATTTAATTTCTGTTGAGTGACTCCTTTTATTATTTCCCATAGCTATAACCAATAACCCTTGGCTTTTTCACATGTCCACCACATACGATACTACGTTCCTGCTTTTTTTTTTACATTTCCAACAAATATTGCTGCTACCCTCTGACATTTTTGCCAGCTTTACAGGGGTATAGTGCCATCTATAAAACATTTTGAGGATATTTTTCTTAGATTTACCGGCTTAATCATTTTATAACACACTTTCCACATCATTGTCCAATGATCAAAATCAATATTATAACCAAAGTTACTTGCCCATTTTATCATCATCTCCTTTATCCTCTCATCCTCCAGATCATATTCTAATAGGTATGTATACAGCACTTTGAATTGGGCTCGGGCAGCAACTGGTAACCAATGTAAATTGAACAGAATCGGCTTGATGTGATCTCTAGCGGCTCCACCACTCACCAGCCGCGCAGCTTAATTCTGGACCATTTTATCATCATCTCCTTTATCCTCTCATCCTCCAGATCATATTCTAATAGGTATGTATACTTTTTCTTTATTATTTTCTCATCAGTGTAAATCCACAGTTTGTCCACCTGGACTTCACCCTCAAAGAAGCCCATATTTTTATCTCTTTTATCTCTTGATTCTAGTTTATTCATTGACCACCAATCTGTCGCCACCCCTAGTTCCTCTAATTCTATGCCTGCATAATTGAGTAGGTTTTTAGTGATTTTTTAAAAAATTGTCAGCGAAGGGGCCAAACAATTTCAGGGTGAAAATTCATTCCACAGCCAGTTTCTCATCTTCTCTCTTCGTGCCTCTCTCAGAATTTGCGTCCTCAGTTGACCTGCTTGAGATATTCTTGTAGAATGGGCAGATCCTGTTGGAAGTGGGCATTCTGCCATGTAGTGAGGTCCCAAACCATTTAGGGTATATAGATTAGAACCATCACCTTGAAGCTGGCACAGAAATGAACAGGTAACCAGTGAAAGGTAGCCAGAATTGTGAGTGAGATGATGATATTTATTCACTCCACTCAGTAATCTGACCACCATGTTCTGGACCTGTTGAAGTTTCAGTGATAGCTTCATGGACAGCCCCACATAGAGAGTGTTGCCATAGTCTAATCTTGAGACCAATATTGCGAGACACCCAGTGTCAAGGTATAGATGTAGCTGAGAAATCCTCCTGAGATGGAAATAAACAGACTGGACCAAATATGCTATCTGAGTGTCCATAGTCAGCATTGAGTCCAGTAGGACACTCAAACTATGAAGCTCATCATTCACAGAGAAAGCAGCACCCCCAAAGTAAAAGGGGGCACTCAATCTACAGACAACCGGGGCATCCACCCAAAGGACCTCCATTTTGTCCTGGTTCAGCCGCAATTTGTTGGGCTTCATCCACTCCAGTATTGCAGCCAGGCAGTGCTCAAGGGATGGGATGGCATCCACTGCAGTAGGGTGGAAGGAGAGATAGAGCTGTATGTCATTAGCATATTGGTGACACACTACTCAATTTCTGGATGACCTTCCCCAGTGGCCTCATATAGATATAAAACAGCAACAGAGAGATGATCAACACCTGAGGGACACCATAATCAACAGTCCAAAGGATTGAGACCATCTCCTCAAGTTGCACTCTCTGGGCATGGTCCTCCAGGAAGAAACAGAACTAGGGCAAATCCAGGCCACTGATCTCCAGTCCAGATAAGCTCCCCAGGAGGATACTGTGATTGCTGGTATCAAAGGCCACTGAGAGATTAAGAAGGACCATCAGGGACATTTTACCCCACCGGTCTCCCTCAGAAGGTCATCATGCAGGGCAATCAGTGCTGTCTCTGTGCCATGACTGGACTGGACTGGAATGGGTCGAGTCGAGGGCATTGGTTTCATCCAAGAGTTCCTGAAGCTGGTCATCCACCACCCTCTCTACTAGTTTGCTTTAAAAAGGAACATTGGTGACAGGATGATAGTTGTTACAGTCATTGACCATCAAACTCATTTTTTTCCAGATGGACCTGATAAGTATCTCCTTGAGGGTTTCGGGAACCTGAACCTCAAGGAGAGAGACATTAATGATACAAGTGACCCATTACATTGTTATTGGCCCAACAACTTTTAAAACTTATTCTTGAGACACCTGTGAAAATATGAGTTCTATAACAATATTCTTATCTTTCAATATTCATAGCATATGTGGGGGGGGGCAGGGGAGAGCAATATAATAATAATAATAATTTATTGTCATTGTAAGTATATACACATACAACGAAATTCACAATATGAAGTCTCTTTGCATGAGCATATTTCCATTAGGATTGGTAGAACTGATCACCATCAAATACAGACATCATTAGCCCTTATATTACACTTTTTGGTCTGGGGTCATAGCTCAGCCATAGAACTAAAGGTTGCCAAGGGTTACAAAACCCAATCATGTTCAAGAGAAATCTATAGTTAAAGCATCTTTCTGACAGATAGCTATCTGATATTTGTTTGAAAACATCAATTGAAGGAGTCATTGGAGAGCACTTCAAACATTTTAAAAGGGTTACCATGTCCCAAATTTATTCTTTTGCAAGCTAAATATATTGATCTTCCTCATTTGAAGTAGTCATTTGTTCAATGCCATATATTTATCTTGAGTAGCAGCCTTTCACTATCTTTGTTCTGATTAATTCTGCTAGATGGATAACAATTTTCCTTTTGGAAGAAAAGGCAAAATAGATGTTTAGCAGTCATATCTTCCCTCAGCTAACCATTAGAATTTATCCATCTTTTCCACACAACAGACCTATGACTTCCTTGTTATTCCTCAAGTATCACTAAACTCCATCTTATTTCGTTGTTATTGTTTACTTCTCTTGCAAGTCTGAACTCATTCTGAGGTTTAGTGCACTGTCATCTCTGTATAAATACTAGCTAGTCACATATACTGTACTCTTCCTTGGAGATTTGCTTCTCCTTTCATTTATGATACATCCCAAGAATCCTGTGAGATCCATATAGTAGCATCGTCCCCCTCTATAATGAGTCACCTACCTGTATCACACATATTTGGGAAATGCCAGTAATCCTTCTATCAGAACTGTCCATAGCCCCCTATCTCAAATGAGGGAGATAAGTTTATTTATCAAGTGCTCTCTCCTGCCTCTGTTCCAGTTGATCAGGTAAAGGCCTCATATCACCTCCAAGAGCACAGCCTGTCTCTTGATAGCCCTGCTTCTCTATGTCATATACCTCCTTTTCTTGCCTCCAGTACTTTGTATTCTTCCTCCTCCCTGGAGCACCCGTACTCTGTTGGTCTTCCAGGAGAACCTCTCAAAATGCTTAATTTTCCCTGATGAGACAAAAAGGTAGCGGCAGATGCTCTACCTCACTAGTTCTTAACCTTGGGTTACTCAGGAGTTTTGGACTGCAACTCCCAGAAGCCTTCACCACCAGCTGTCCTGACTGGGGTTTCTGGGAGTTGCAGTTCAAAAGCATCCGAGTAACAAAGGTTAAGAACCACTGCTCTACCTTTTCTCAAGCTGCTATACCATGTTTTCCAGCAGGACAACAGTTTGCATGTATTTATAATTCTTTGTATTCTCACATTGAGGGCTAACTTGACACTGATGTTACTGTGGTAGTTTTCTCATCTCTTTGTCCTTTGTCGGCAGTGAGTAACATAGCACTATTGTCCTCTTAAACTTTCCTGCTCAGTACGTACACAAAACCTCCCTGCTTACCCAATCTGCTTATGAGTTCTCGGTGACTCTGAGGACAGCTGTAGACTTGGCAACTGTTATCTGCACTCTCTACCAATGTAACTATTTACTTTGTCTCAGCATGCTCTCAGCTGTAGCAGTCCCCAACACTGTGTGCTTTAAAAGATGTAAACAAAAATGAATCTAAATATATTTCTTTTTCTATATTTGTGAAAATAGTTTCTAAAAACAAGTGTAATAAAAATGTGTGGAATGATGCAGAATGAGAAGGTGGAGTTATGTAACTGAACAGATTGGAAATACAGTGGGGTCTCTACTTAAGAATTTAATCCGTATTGGAAGGTGGTTCTCAAGTTGAAAAGTTCTTATGTTGAATCTGCATTTCCCATAGGAATGCATTGAAAACCATTTAATCTGTATCTGCTCTTTTCCATCCATAGAAACTACAGTGGAACCTCTACTTAAGAACTTAATCCGTTTTGGAATGGTCTTCTTAAGTTGAAACGTTCTTAAGTTGAAGCAAAATTTCCCATAGGAATGGACTGAAAACCAATTAATCTGTTCTGGCTGGTTTTTGTTATGTAGAGGTGCGTTCGTACATTGAAGCATTAGTTCCCATAGGAACTAATGCAAAGCTGGTTAATACGTACTCTACGACTAGGGGGAGAAATTTTTTTTAACCTAAGATGACCTAAGGTTAAAAAAAGAGCAGGAAAGGTTTTTTTTACTGTTCTTATCTTGGATTTCTGTTCTCAAGTAGAAGCAAAATTTAGCAAATGGAGCTGTTCTTAAGTTGGATTGTTCTTAAGTAGAGACGTTCTTAAGTAGAGACCCCACTGTAGGCTAGTTCACCTATTGTTAATTGTAACATAATACTCTGAAATTAAAGTGTTTAAACTCTTTTCACAGTTACACACTACAGATATCATATTTATGATTAAACTTGGTGTTTTTTTCTTATTAATTGAGGTTATACAAAATAAAATACCCAAGCATGAAACATGCAATTGAGTTTGGAGATACTACATTAATTCCATAAAACATCATAAAAATATCTTGAAAAGCACAACTCTTGCTTTGCTGATTTCCTCAGAAATAAGCCCTACTGCATTGAGGGGGATTTACCAATTGGTACATTTTTTCAGATTGCAGTTACAGCACTTATTTAACTGAACTGGCAATAAAAGTAGAAGGTTTGTGGACTGTGTGAGAAGAGCTGAATATGTTTAGGATAGAACCCTAGCAATTAATGTATATTTTCTATTACCAAGATGATGCCATATTTTTGTATGAGATCCATTATACATATTTGGGTGATGTCATGTTGACAATAAATAAAATATATTATAATGTTTTCTATAATTATGTGCTGCCTTGACTCTGTATGAAAAACTAGACACATGTCCAAAAGTTCTTTTTTGCCATGTCTGATACATAATTTCTTTCCTCTAGACATTTGTGAATGATGTGCGGATTCCAGAACAGACGTACATTACCCTAAAGCTTGAGGATAAACTGAGATTTGGATATGATATCCTTATTAAAATATTGCGTTACTGTTGGGTTTCGTTTATAAGTTTAAATTAACAGGTGTAAAAGTGTAAGATATAAATATTATGTAATAATCCAGTGCATTTCAGAATTCTTAAGGTGATAGAAAATAATAAATTAAAAATATATTTGAAATGTTGAAATAATTAAAAATTCATTATTGTGGTTGTCAGTATGTTACAGTAAATATAATTTCCCTCTTCTTTGTTTGTGTTCTGTAAAGCGGAAATTAGCAATTTTTTAAAAGACCTCAACAGAAGCTTCAAAAATTAAGCACCTGCAGTTGTTGATTAAAAGGGTACATAATTAGCCAGACCTCAAATTGTATTTCACAGAGTATGCAGTCTCAGAGACCACTCAGCCATCATACCTTAATTCTGAGGACCACCACTAGATCTGGCATTGAAGAAATTAGCTACTTCTGGAAGCACCACTAACTTTGCTTGTTTCTTATGTGATGACACATGCATTCAGGAAGGAAGAAAGAAAAAAAAGAAAGTTCTGGATAACGCCCTGTAGTGGCAGCTCTCCAAAGCTACATAGTGCCTGAGCAGCAGAGGGGAGTGGCACATTGCCCACATGAGACAGTTGCTTCAGTAGATTTAATAATGAGTCCAACTCTGGGTCACAGGAAGAAATGTACAGTAGGACCCCCTTATCCATAGGATCAGTATCCACTGATTCACTTATCCACAATCTGAATATATTAAAAAAATTAAAAGAAAAAATCCAGAGAAAACTATTTCCACATGTATTACCAGAGCTGGCTGCTAGAGGGAGCCAGACCGTGCTCTGAATACTTGATCATTAAGAATACATAGCATGGCCTCTGGCACAGTCTAGTGGCCAGGCCTGGTAATGCATGTGCAAATAATTTCCCCCCAGTTTCTTTCCCTTTTACCATGGTATATATAGAGATAAGCCTCTGTTCTTATGGTGTCCTCTTCCATCTCACAGCCACAAAATGGCAGGCAGAGAGGATTTTTTTCCACCTGGCTTTCTATTTCCACCCATGAAACTCAGAACTGAAAGAAACTGTTGGCTTCTCCCATGTTTGGGAAGGAAGTAAAGGTTTATTTCTGCCTTTGCAGCTCCATTGTTGGGAAGAGAGATCAGTTCTTTCTTTCTCACTAGAGCGTCACTATGTCAAAAGTGTGTGAGAGCAAGTTTTTCAATCCTGTCTTTCTCCTGGGTGGCTATTGGGATGACAATACTTAAAAGGCCCAAAGACAGCTGTAATTATTTTCCTCCTTACATGCTAAAAAGTAGCAAGCCATTAACAGGAAAAGGTCAGATGTTGCCTTCTGTCACTTTCGACCATCGCTTCTCCAGCAATTGGATCACTAAGTGAAAGGGAAGGGTATAATGGTAGAATAACCAAGCCTCATGTTGTGGGAAAGGCTGAGACAGGATATTTATTTTCTGACCCAGATTTTAGTTTGAACCAAAGAATTACAAGACTTGAAAAGCTCACTTTCACTTTTGAAATCCCACAAAGTGTACCTCTTTAAATTCACACTTGAGCTCTCTAATTGCTATTTTCTCTTCAGAGTTTACACTATTGATTCTCATTAAATTCCTTCATGTACGTTATTCTGAAACATAGTAAAGTGGTGCCTCGCTTAACGATAATCCATTCCAGGAAAATTGCCTTAAGCGAAAACATTGTAAACCGAAATTAAAAACCCCATTGAAACGCATTGAAACCCGTTCAATGCATTCCAATGGGGTAAAAACTCGCCATCCAGTGAAGATCCTCCATACGTGGCCATTTTCGCTGCCTGCAAGGAATCCGTCCCTAAGCACAGCAGGGAGCCATTTTAAACGCCCGATGGCCATTTTGAAAACCTGATGATCAGCTGTTTTTGATCATTGTAAAGTGAAAATCGGTTCCCGAAGCAGGGGACCAATCATCGCTAAGCGAAATTCCCCCATTTATCGTTTTGCGATAGCAAAAAGATCATCGTAAAGCAGATTTGTCGTAATGCGGGGCAATCGTTAAGCAAGGCACCACTGTAAGAGAAAATACAGCTGATTTGTACTTCTCCATGTGGTAGTAACACAACAGCCCATTTCTCAGTTCAGATATCCTACCAAAACATGGTTAAGGAAGCTGGAACTTGTTTTGGAATTATTATATTAGAACATTATGTTGACCAGTAAATCCAAATGGGAAGAATGGTCAACGTTGATTTGTAATATCTTTTATACATGTTACACTTTGATGTGATTTTCTGAATTGATAAACCATGGTTACAATCACTGCATCCTTGCCAGCAATACAACACAGTAAAGAGAGGAGTGAATTCTTGAACTTGAGTACTATGGGGGTTATAATGTTTTATGTCTAGAAGTACACAGGATAGTTTCACATTTCAGAACTAAGTCTAAAACTGAGAGACCAGAATGCTTCTGCATGCTAATGCATTCTGGCCTCTCAGTTTTAGACTGTTTTGAAATTTAGACATTAATTCACTGAGAAGGAAATAGTGCACAACATTTTACTCAGACTTGGTATCAGTGTGATAGTACAAATAAAATAATTTGCTTATACTAAGCAATATTTTACTTACATATGGTATCAATATGATAGTACAAATAAATTTTAGTGTAGTAATGTAACAGTACATCCTTTGGTTTACATATCAAATCTATTTTTCATTTTCTCTAAAATAGATATGCTGTATCTGCATATGGCCCTCAGTGCTTGACTGAAGCCTTATACTGAGTACCAGTGTTCTGTCCAGGAGTGGAGAAATTGATCCTTCCTATACAATGCTATTTTCATGTACCTCTTTCCCCTATGGCCGTCTACCAATATCTGATTTGTAGACTGAATGGAATATGAATAGGCCAGAAAGTATACAAAGATATTCATCTTATGCGTCATTCTCCCTGTTTAAATCATGCACCTCTCCCATTGTCCAGCATATTAACCCTGGGAAAAGCAAATAAATAAATAAATAAATATAAATTTTTAAAAAAAGGAAAGTGTGGTGCTTATATACCGCCCCATAGCGCTTCAAGCACTCTCTGAGTGGTTTACAATTTAATTATGCAGGCTACACATTGCCTCCCCAGCGAGCTGTGTACTCATGTTACTGACCTCAGAAGGATAGAAGGCTCAACCTTGAGCCGGCTACCTGGAATTGAACCCCAGGTTGTGAGCACAGTTTTTGGCTGCAGTACAGCAGCTTAACCACTGCGCCACGAGGCTCAGTAAGCCACAATATGGAGTAGAGGGTATGCAGTGGGTTTCCTTCACATAAGTAAGATTTAAGGTTTAACTGTTTCTACCATGCATATTGTCAAAAAAACCCAGAAGAATGTGTAAAAACTACTCCAAAAAAGCAGAGGCAAAGTAACAGATAATTGATCTACTCCAAAAGCAGTTAATGATACAAACTACCACCACCATTACAATACCATATACATCTGTAGCAGAATAAGTACACAGTAAGCAAATAACAGTTTTAAAAATCATATCCCTCTCCCCAAAACCAAAAGAAGCAAGCAAGTTAATAAAGGCAAGAAAAACAATCAAAGCCCCCCAAAACCAAAGTGACTAGAATATGGGAAGATTTCTCTCCCCATCCCTTGATGTCTTATTCTTTGAGTCTAGTGCAGCAGCAGGCAGGCAGCAAAAGTAATCCAAGAAAGGAGATGATCAAAGAGAGAGGGACAGAATTCCCAAAGGAGTTAGACAAGGGGAAAGAATCCAAAAAATAATCCAAAGGAGGTAATGTTTGTGTAGACAAATGCTACCTGACAGCAGCAAAAATAATATAAATAAACGAGGGATTGGAATCCCTCACAGAAAAATCAAAGGGAAAAGGAAGAGGGTCCTAGATAGAGGGACAGAGGTTGGCGCACAGGCAGCCCAAAGTTGAGGGCACCAGGAGCTATCACATCCAGAAGAAACAAGTAAAATAAAGAACTCTCCCACTGAGTTGCAACCAATTCAGGCCCGTCACAGCTTCAAAATTACCACTTCCTGGAGATTCTGACTGAGTGCTGACAGTAGTCTTCTGAACACTGTTGGATGAAAAATTTTCCAGGCAATTTAACAAAGGGTGGAAGAAAGGTTAAACTAAAGAGCAAATCACAAAAGAACGCAAAACGTTTGTGCTCCCCTCTTATTAATATGAATCATCCATATTTTAGAGCAGCGGTCCCCAACCTTTTTCAGTCTGCGGATCGGCTGGGGAAGGTGGGGCACCCGCGTGCTCGTGCGTGAAAACGTGCGCTTGTCTGGGCGCGCTTGCGCTTGTACGCATGTGCAAACAGTGGTGATGCACTCACACAGGTGTGCTGGAATGTGTGCACAGGTGCAAACACGCTGTGCAGGTGTGAGCGCATGCAGGGGTTGGGGCTGGAGGTCTATCTTGGCATTTGGGGACCTCTGTTTTAGAGGCTTTCTTTTGGACTCGATGAAAAACCATGAAACTGGAGTACAGTATTTTTCATGTTCTTTTCCTTTCATCAAAACATGAAAATCCAATCCCTACTCACCACCCTTGCTGCATGCTTTCCACAGAGACAAATATGTGGCCCTACCCAATGCTGAGATAGAAACTGGAACTAATGTTTTCTCCCCATAAATGTTGCAGTTAGCAAAATGAATTTGTAGTTTCTAGATAACGAAAATAACTACTTTCCTTATCATATCATACATACCAATCTTTTTACAGTCGTTAGAGGTGAGATGAGAGTCCCTGAAGAAGCACTTAAGGTAATTTTATGTTATTATTGGATTTTTATCCCGCCCTTCTAGACAGTAGTCTACTCAGGGCGGCTCACAATATAATATAATCTGTACCTATAGCTATATAATGCATGTTTGTTTCTAGGCGTGGATTGTCTTGGTACAAGTTTATTTTCAACAAATAGCAGCCTCCATACAAGCATTTTGAGAACACCTATGACTACTCCTGCTTTCCTTGCAGACGTGTTTGTCAAAACATCTGCTTCCCCATAGAAGTCCCTGTGATGGTTGTATATATGGACTCAAATTAAGATGCAAAATTATACCTCTTATACAGTAGATCTGAAACCACTCCATTTTTGCCTTAAGAATGAGTCTGTTCAATGGATTATCTCGAGACTCATCTCTCACAGTTGGATTAGAATCAAGGTTTAGTTTTACATTGACTGAAATCCTGTAGTAAATTGCAACAAGAATAAGCCCATTGAATCAGTGAAACTTATATAGGTGTTGACTCACCAAATCCCCACTGATTCAGTGGAGCAAATGGTTGTGATTTACTGCTGGATTTCAAGCAGTGTATTCTGAACAGCACATTATCCCTTGCTATAATTCTGTTGCTTGGCTTGATGGAATTTTATTTACCTTCCAGCATGAGAAGTTTACAAGTCAGCTACAGTTATCTCAGAAATCCTCAGAAGCAGAAGGATCAAAAGTAACTAGTGCCAAAGCTGCAGAGCCAAAGGTACAAGACACCATTGCTGAAGTGCATCACAAATCTATAGATGCACTGAAATCTGAGGAGAAATCTGCAGGTAAGAAATATCCCCGTCCTTAAGATCTATTGAGTATTTCACATACTGCACGATTGATGTTAAATGGTATTACAAGATATATGGATAAATAGTGTATAATGGTTTGATTCATATGTACTAGAAATTCTAATTTTGTGGCAGAAACTGTTAAAGATACTTCAGTTTATATTTTCCTCTGACACTATTCATAATCTGTGAACTGGAAATACACAAGGATGGTTAACTCAAAGTCCTTTGTCATTAGATAAGCTGAGGTTTGGTTCCTTCCCTTAACTTGTGTGCTGAACAATATGACACCAGTTACTGGAAAGCAGGTTCTAATTTGTTCTTACTCCTAAAAAATGGAATGAGAATATTTGAATATTCAAATATTTGAATATTTGAATATGCCTCTTGCTTATATATTAGAGTGTTGAAAGAGTACAAAGAGGAAGAAGAAGTAATCTATAAAATAGCTGACTGGATAGCTCCATGAGTTAGGTATCTGGCTGTAGAGCCAGAGGTTGGGAGTTCAGCCACAGAAGAGCCAACCTGTGTGACCTTGGCAAGATGCACAGTCCCAAGATGCTATCAGGAGAAGGGAATGACAAACCATTTCTGAGTACTCTCTACCTAAAAGACCCTGAAAAGGGTCACCATAAGTAAGAATTGACTGGATGGCACACGATGATGACAATGATGTAGTCTGAGCTGGTATAAAATCTGTTTCCAATTTTAGAGACAATGAAGGAAAATTTAATGTGCAAATACTGATAAAACTAGGTTTTCCTTTTGGACCCTACAGGCCACATGTTCCAGAAAAGTCAATCCTCTATTTTCATATGTTGTTTCTACATTGAGACTAGCTTCTGCAAGGCTGTCAAGGAACACTATGTATTAAATATATTGCTTGCTTAGAATGCAGATAGCTTAGCTTGTTTTAAACATTTTGAAGGCAGTAGAAGCAAAAGCCCATGAGTATTTAACTTGGATTGCAATATGTGAGAGAACTGTTTCTGATATAACTTTCACCACTCTTAACCAGTAACTTTGGTTGTACAGATCTTTCTACCATGCCTCGTGGTACACCTTTGTATGGGCAACCAGCATGGTGGGGTGATGATGAGGCTGAAGAACAGAATGGCTTCAAACAAGATGGTAAACCTGAAGAGAAAATACATGAAACTGGAGTGTTAGGTAAGGTTATCTGAAAAAAACATAGCTCAGTTTTCTGCACCTTTGTTTCAAAGGTGATAATGCATCACATACGTATATTTCAAGTCTTCATCAGATTTGTTGCCAAGAAAGCAATGTTAACAGTTCATTGCCTGTAGTATGTTCAGTGTAATATTTCTTACATAATACAGTACTAAAAGGCATGCACTGTTTTGAAGATATCAGTATATGGTAGGACCCATATCTATGTATGTAGCAGGATCAGCAGTGGCAGAGCTGAATGCCAGCTGTATTATTATTACAGCTACATCTGTAATAATACTGATCTTCCTGTTAGGCAACTTTTCTGGCTTTATTTTCCCCAGCTCATCCAACAGGAGTTAGTAACAAATATTTACTTACTAGGAGAAACTAATACTACTTTTATACTACTATATTTCTACTCAGAAATATGACCCATTATGGTCAGTGGCATTATTCCCGTGCATGTGTATACAAGATTGCCGTATAAAGGTACTTTTATTCAGGTGCCTCTGGGATGGAAGCTTTTTTTTAAAAAAAAAACTAGCTTTCAGTAGAATCTGTTTTGATGAAAGGTATTGTCTCTTCGCCAAGGCTTTTGTGATTAAACCCTGTTTATTTTATTCTATAGGATTTAATCATGATAGCGAGAATCTTATTGGGGATTCATGCCAGTATAAATGTATTTATGTAAACCCTGATTATTGCAAGTAATTAAAGAGTTTCTGCTCACATTGCTGGTTCCGTGACCAAGAAAATTTGCTGTCATGGTTTATGACTTACACGTATGCTGGTGACCAGTAGGAGTCAGGCCAATATCTATATTTTTATAAAGTTTTGTCCCAGTATGTGTTTCTTTGCTGTGCTATAATTTCGTAAAGGCAGAACTAACAATTGTTTTTTTCATATGTGGGGTTATGCATATTATTTTTCATTAACTGATTTAAAGGCTATAGAGACATTCTAAAAGAATTATTGAATGCAAGAGTCCAGGTATACTTCTGCAGTCACTTATACTTAATAGCATGGGTAAAAGTAGAAACAAAATAAAAATAGAGAGTAAAAAAAGATAAACATGTGGTGGCACTTTAAAGACTAACTTTTATATTCTTTAATGTGAGCTTTTGTGGACATGTTTGATGAAGTGGACTTGTCCACAAGAGCTCACATTAAAGAATATAAAAGTTAGTCTCTAAAGTGCTACCCCATTTTTGTCTTTGTACTCTTTATTTTTAGTTTGTTTTCATCTATAATGCTTGCACAGAATAACATGGCTGCCCCTTCTACAACATGGGTAAAAGATTATCCCATTTTTGATAGTTTTGATAAATCGAATGCTAAACATTTTTGGAATGACTCAAAAAAATGTCATTTGTCTGATTTACATGGGTTCCAAACAATATTGAGAAACAGATTGGTTTCTTGGATACCAATCAGTTGGTGGCTGTTAAAAACAAGTAGTCATTCAGATAATAAAAAAAGGAATTGACTGACTGTGATGAAAGCTGTATTATGTGAGGCAACACAAATCCTTGTCACATAAAATCATAAGCTGTTCATTTGGGGAAAAATACAGTTTATCTGAAAGGATTCCTGTTTATGGTTGTTGTGGGTTTTTCAGGCTCTTTGGCGGTGTTCTGAAGGTTGTTCTTCCTGACGTTTCGCCAGTCTCTGTGGCTGGCATCTTCAGAGGACTGGAGAAGGAACTCTGTCCACGCTCTGTTGGTGTTTGTTGGATAGTTGAATGTTTATAGCTGTGGGAAACAGCTTTTGTTTTTTTTTTCAGGAGATAGGGTGATCAGCATGTTTTTGTTGTGATAAGGGGGAGGGAGAGATTATCTGTCACTGTGATTGATGGGTGTCTTTAGCTGGTCTTTTGTGTGCAATGATCCCTGGCCCTTGTGGCTGGCTAGAGTTCATTGACCTTTTGCAGGTTGTATTTTTCAGAATGGGGCGCCAGGCCGTGTTTAGTTTTAGCACTTCTTCTTTCCTGTTGAAGTTCTGTTTATGTTTATGGATTTCAATGGCTTCCCTGTGCAGTCTAACAAACAGATTGGTGGTGTTGTCCAGTACTTCAGTATTTTGAAATAGAATTTAATGTCCAGCTTGTTTTAGGGCATGTTCAGCTACTGCTGATTTTTCCGGTTGTTTTAATCAGTGTGTCTCTCATATTGTTTGATTCTGGTGTGAATGCTGCATTTTGTGGTTCCAATATATACCTGTCCACAACTGCACGGTATCCGGTATACTCCTCCAGTGGTGAGGGGGTCCCTTTTGTCCTTTGCTGACTGTAACATTTGTTGTATTTTTGTGGTGGGTTTGAATACTGTTTGTAAGTTGTGTTTCCCACAGCTATAAATAACTATCCAACAAACACCAACAGAGCATGGACAGAGTTCCTACTCCAGTCCTCTGAAGATGCCGGCCACAGAGACTGGCAAAACGTTAGGAAGAACAACCTTCAGAACATGGGTGAAAAGCCCGAAAAACCTACAACAACTGTTAGATCCCGGCCGTGAAAGCCTTTGCGAATACATTGATTCCTGTTTATGTTTTTGGTTGTGCTTGATGTTTATAGTTAAAGGCAGTAAAGTATTATTTCTATATTGTTTTATTCCACATTTTCCCTACTGTTTTTAATAACCTGTGATATATATTTGGAGACAGTACAGCCCTTTTTGAGCATAAGTAGCCCTGCAGCTACAAAATGATTAGAGAACAGGAAACAAGGAGTAAAAGAAGGAATAAAATGAACATACCTCATAATAGACAGTTGTATGAAATGAGATTATTTAGTTATCAGTGTGAGGACTAGTGCTCTTTAACTTTTTCATGAATGATCTAGAATAAGAGTTTAAAAAGGCTAGGAGAGCCAGTGTGGCATAGTGGGTAACATAGCAGTTTAAGAGTAGGAGAGCTGAGTTCAAATCCCCACTTGACTGTGAAAATTCACAGGGAGCTGTTGGCTATGGTTAATGATTTCTTTAACAACTCACATATCCTGAGGACTCTGTAAGGGTCACAGTGATTCAAATGTAACTACATGGCAATTGGTCAGGTTTCCAGATGACATCAAATTATTCAAGATGATATAAACAAAAAGGGACTGTGAAAAGCTCCAGGAGGATCTTTATAAATTGGTGAAAACTATTAAAATGGCAAATGCAACTCAATGTGAGTATGCGAAACACTGATCCACATTTGGGGCAGAAAATCTTAACCAGTTTGAACTGATGAAGCCAGTGATAATGGATACTTGGAATTTTCCTGTTCACGTGCACCATAACCTCTGGATACCATTTGCTTGGAAGCAACATCAGGACCGCACTATTGCCTTGAACTCCTGCTTGTCAGTTACCTAGAGATATTTGGTTGACTGACCATAGGAGGAAGAGGATTAGAACTGAAAAAAAAATTGATCTGATCCAGCAAGGTCTTTATTATGTCTTTATTAAATATGCTGATTGAATACACATATATAGTTGTTATCAACCCACCACTTGTCTTCACCATCAGGACAATAGCTATGAAGAAATTAGTATTTGCATAAACAGCTCACAGATTTCCAGGCATCTCAATACATGTTTATTGTTTAAATCGTCCAAGCTTTCAATGGCAGTATCCTGTGCCACCTTTGTCAGGGAAGGCAAGATAGCAACTAAAACAAAGCTAACCTTAATGCAACAAGGTACAGTCAAAACCAGCTGGGTAAACACACTGGCCAGTATTATATAAGGGCAACCTGCCAAGTCTATTGAGTTTACAAAACAAAGGCTTCCAGCAAGCACTATTTTTGATCTGAATGCTCTCAGCCATCATCATCCTGCCTATAAAAGAACAGTCCTTTGTACTTCGGTTCATAAAAAATATGTAGTGTTGGATACAGACACTTTGGATGATGAGCTTCAATTGTTATGGTCCATCTTTAGGAAAATGGATATTCTACTAGGGACATTAAGTGGGTGTTGGACCCTAACAACAGAAGAGTGAGAGAAAGGGAAGACAATGATGGTCATTCTTCCTTTTTACACGAAAGTTTCAGCAAAGATGGGAAGATTGGTTCATAAGATTCATTTCAAGCCTGTTTTCTGTCCTATTAACCAAATCGAACAAATGATCTCTCCAGTTAAAGATCCTTTCTAGGACTTAGAGTCCAGGCATATATGGAGTACCAAGTTGTTGTGGTCAGGCTTACATTGGCCAGCTTGAAAGATCTATTACAGAGAGAATATCTGAACACAGCCTGAAAAATCTGGACTAACTGAACATTGTATCAAGTTTGGTCATCAGCCCCAATAGAATGGGGTACAAATATTGACCCAACCCAGTCAATTCTGGGATTGAATTATTACTGAGGTTCTCTTGGTAAAACTTGAACCACATTCCATCAACAGAGATAGTGGTGTTTAGTGCTTGCTTGGAAGTCTTTGTTTTGTAAACTGGATAGACCTGGCAGGTTGCCCTTATATAATACTGGCCAGTGTGCGATACTGACTCTTAAATGTGAATTTGCCTAAATCTGGTCTGAGTGTTTACCCAGTTGGTTTTGATTTTACAGTACATTGTTGTATTTAAGGTTAGCTTTGTTTTAGTTGATATCTTGCCTTCCCTGACGAAGATGGCAGCAGGATATTACCATTTAAAGCTTGGACTATTTAAAAATAAACATGTATTGACATGCCTGCAAGTCCGTGAGCTGTTTATGCAAAGCATTCATTATAAAAGACTGAGATCTCAAATTAGGATTTATTTATTACATCTATGCCCCAATGTGCCTGCACTTTTCTCTAAACAATAAGTGGCTAACAAAGAAACAATTAAAATAAGTTAAAATAGATTAAAAGAAAATAAGGCATAAAATTACTAAAATCATGATAATGAAACCAATTAAATTTGTTATAATAATCAGCAGAACAGTTTAAAATGCTGGTTTGAGGAATTGTTTCTTCATGTCTCTCTTAAAAGCAACAAAAGTACGAACTAGTCACAATCTTGGGAGC